GCGTGTGAGTGTGTGTGTGTGAGAGTGTGTGTGTGTGTGTGTGTGTGTGTGTGTACCTGTTTTTCTTTTCTGGTGGGGACTTAAACCTGAATACACACAGACTCATGGGGACTCGTGTCACAGTAGGGACCTAAATTGAGGTCCCCACGGGTAAACCTGCTAATAAATCACACAGAATGAAGTTTTTTGAAAATCTAAAAATGCAGAAAGTTTCCTGTGAGGGGTAGGTTTAGGGGTAGGGTTGGTGTAGGGCAATAGAATATACGGTCTGCACAGTAGAGAAACCATTACGCCTATGGAGAGTACCCACAAGGATAGCTGACCAGACTGTGTGTGTGTGTGTGTGTGTGTGTGTGTGCTTTAGAAGCAGCGATTGAGCTTGATCATTCACAATCAATGTGACAGATTGCTGGCCTGCCTTTTCTGAGTCTTAATTGTAGTGGTCTCATGGAGCAAGTTTTAATCATTCATTATCTTCTCTTTTTCATACCAAGTCGCTGCTGTGAGAAAAAAAGCTGCGGCAATCGTAATGAGACACCATCTGACCCTGTCATCATTGACAGGTAAGTCCGCTTATGAATCTTATGTGTTTAACTCAAACAGGAACGTGTTTGAATGAGTTATACTGTATATATACAGTATATATATATATATATATATAAACTTAAATGTCCCATGTAAGTGCTCTTGTGAATCACTCTGTCTCCCTCACCTTGACCAAGTCAAGTCAAGCGCTTTATACAGTACAGCTTGTGCCACAGCAGCTTTACAGTGGCAAACAGGAAAATAATGTTTCAAGAATGCAAACAAAATTCAATTCTGTTGTAAAGCATGCAGCTAAAAAGAGAACAATAGTACACAGTCAATATTTCAGTTAAAGTCAGTTGACTAGCCCAAGCTGTCCTTCAAAGATATAGATAATATAGTTTCCCTTATGTTCAGATCTGGCTTGATATCCTGTTCAAGCTAACATTGTTTATAAAGCGTCTCTGAGGATCTCAAGTCAAGAGTGGGAAAAATGGACTCTTGTGTCTTAGATTTTCCCAGAATTCCTTAGCACCACAGCTGTTTTTATAGTTTTCTCTCTCTCTCCTTCTGTCCTGTCTGTTCCTTCTCTGTCTTTAATTCTCCAAACATGGCCAGGCTTACCCAGAGTTTTTAATAAAATGAAGGCTTTAGACAGCCATGTTTGGTATTGACAGAGTTTTTTATTTTTATTTAATTAATTTATTTATTTTTGCGCTGTAGTTTATATATTGCCTCATTAGTGCATTATGATACTGTACTTCTCAGTTTTGGCAACACTAAACAAACCGTTCCCTGGATCTGTTTTATTTTTATTTATTTACTTTTATAATTTTTTTCCCCCCAGGGGGACAAAACATGTATTGAATACCATTTTTAAAATCATGAATGAGTAAAAAAAAAAGATGGAATTATGGATATTATGGAATATCAAAAAAAGATATTGTGGAATATGGAGTGATATGGCTTAATTGATAGCGTCATTCTGTAGATGAATTGGTTTCTCTTAGCTACAAAATAGCATTTGTTAAGAGATGTTTATATTTAATATATTATGAAATAGTCTGTTTGTTAGAAGATTTTCTAGAAAATAGCCTTTTCAGGACAAAATTCTACCTTATTTAGATTTTTTGGCTAGTTTTAATAACCGTCACACTCTCGTTTTTCTTCATTTTCTTTGCCACCTACAACCTTTCCCCCTAATATTGATATAATTAGTCAGCCTCATCAGGATCCCTCCCCAATGCATGTGGGAATTGTGATCCCAAAGCACCAACACCCCCGTCCTTTCTTAATCTGTGTCCGTTTTGTTTGGACCTGCTGCTCTGTCTGTCTGTCTGTCTGTCTCTCCACAACTAATCCAGTTATTAGCAGAAGGGGAGAGAATAGCTCTCAGCTGATCCTGAAGGAGGCTTTTGTCACATTATGTTCCCCACATCTTCCCTCGGCGAGTTTACAGCTGAGCTTTTTATCATTACATGTCCGTATGTTACATTGCATTCTAATCTCAGCACATTTTAACCTCTTTGTTTATGTTAGTTGGTTTATATAATTGCATGTCTTATTATGTGCTTGTGCATGTGCTAGAATTAAATAGATTGAAAGACCAATTTATTTAATCCAGCAATCCATGACTGATCAATAGCACCAGTGTGCTTCGGCCTCATGCTTTGATCCTGTAGATGAAAGCTGCTGATTTTAAAATGTCTCATGCAAATTGGCATTAACAATTGTAATGGCGTGTATGTGTGTACCACTGATCTATACTTGAGTGAAAACCAATCACGGACAGCTGTATAAGAAATATTTTTTTATTTTTTTATTTTTTTTTATTGTAAAATAGATTGGGTTAAGGTATGGGTTTAAGTTAGTTTATAATATTTATAATTAGCTGTAGAAGTCTATGCAATGTAACCATCCAGTTAAGTAAATGTGAATCTCCGTTGTTTTAGTGTTATGCAAAACAGGCCTAAAATGGATTAGGAAAAGTCTGTCAAAGTAGAAGCACTAATTATGCATGGGTTCATAAGTAAAGAACGATGACGAATGTTTCTAAAAGCTCTGGTATATCTAAGCTTCTCTTTTTACCTTTGTGGTAAATGTACGGCTGTATGGCTAACAGCTTGAGGCTCAGCAAGTCAGTACCACACAGGTTCAATAAATGCATGCATACGACCAGTGGGGGTGGAAAAAGAACTGTTGAAAAGAAAGAGAGAGTTGAAAGGGGATCAATCACACGCTGGGTTTTGTGGAAACAAACTTAATCAATATCATACAATCTTGTCAATAGGATAAGGCTACTACAAAAAGATAGATAAATAGATAGATAGATAGATAGATTTGGGGGAGAAAAAATCTGAGTAATAGGAATGGTACCATCTGTCCCCTCTCGCTTTGCTAATCAAACCCAGGGGAGTGCAAAACTATCGGATCAATAGAAAGACAATGAACTGATCCTGAAGGGAACCCAAGAGTAACAAATATAGGACAAGTGAAGGGAATGGCAGGAAATAAAACTCTTTAAACATATGCCCCGTAGCAAAAGTTGGCAGAATAGTTGGAATCAGATATTTGAAATAAAATAAACAGCCAACAGAAAAAAAAAAAATATATATATATTTTTTTTTAACCATAAACAGTTCCTTACAAAAGTATTCAAACCCCTTCATACTCATTTCCATGGCCAGAGTTTCAAACCCATTTTTTCTTCTTCACATTTTGTGTTGCAACCTGAAGCAAAAATGCTTTAAATAAAATTAGTTTTACACTCCATACCACATTATGGCAAAATAAAGAAAGAAAACAAGAAACATCACATTACATAAGTATTTGCACTTGAAATTCACATTATATAAGCTTTTGCTATGACTCTTGAAATTTAGGCCATTTTTCCGGATCATCTTTTGAGATTTAATGTTTCTAACCTTTGATCGAAGTCCATCTGCTTTAAATTCAATTGATTAGGCATGATTTGGAAAGGCGATTTCTGTCACTGCTGTGAGGAACAGTGCTGCCTGTGGTGCTAAAATATAATGTGCGTGGCTAATCCATAGCAAATGTGTACAAATGCAGACAGGAGTGTGAGGAGAGCGGGAGAGAGGAGCTGTGTTAGGGTGGAATGGGAGGAAGAAAATAGTAGAGAGACTGACAGGGCTCACAGCAGGCCTGCTGAGAAGCTGTCAATGGCCCTATCAACCCTGACCTGAGTCCTGACAGAGTCATCACCCACACACACATACACGCACGCACGCACGCCCACACACACACACACACACACACACACACACACACACGATTAGGCATGATTTGGAAAGGCGATTTCTGTCACTGCTGTGAGGAACAGTGCTGCCTGTGGTGCTAAAATATAATGTGCGTGGCTAATCCATAGCAAATGTGTACAAATGCAGACAGGAGTGTGAGGAGAGCGGGAGAGAGGAGCTGTGTTAGGGTGGAATGGGAGGAAGAAAATAGTAGAGAGACTGACAGGGCTCACAGCAGGCCTGCTGAGAAGCTGTCAATGGCCCTATCAACCCTGACCTGAGTCCTGACAGAGTCAACACACACACACACACACATACACGCACGCACGCCCACACACACACACACACACACACACATGAGTCTGCATTGTCTGGTCTCTCACAAATGCATGTCTATGAAGTAAACTAATTCAGGGCATCTGTCCTGATGAATATATCCTAAATACTGCAGTATGCACAGACAAGAGTGTATTTCTGTGGAGAAAGTGGGACGTCGAGGCATACAGAATTTAGCTTGGAGGATGAGATCTTCTGAATCTCCTCCAGATTGCTGGCAAGCAGACACACACACAAACAAACAGAGGGGCCAGGCTAGCACCAGGGGGCATCATTAACTCATTAGTGAAATTTAAGACAGTCAAGCACCAGTGCCTTCACACACACACACACACACACACACACACACACACACACACACACACACACACACACACACACACACACACACACACAGGCAGACATATATGTCCCTACACATGACAGCATATGTGGCGGAGGGCCAATTTCATCAGACTGACATTTATAATTAAAATATCTCAAGATAAGTGGATGGCAAGGCTGCCAATTAAGCATTTTCTGTAGTATCTGTGGGAAAAAATACAGTCGGTGTAAGTATTACCACCCCCCCCCCCCCCCCCCTTTTTAAAACTCACATCAAGCTGTTCAGTTTGAAACGTTCAGTAAAGTGAGTGCTGGCATCCTCCATTCAATCCCCTCCTTCAAACACACACACACACACACACAATTTGGAAACAGATGTTGTTTGTCAGATCCTATCATTACTGGCTAATTAAGCAGACATCTTTTCCTTCTTTTCTCCTATCTGTCACTCTTGTATTCATGCAGATTGCCATGCCTTTGTTTCCCCACAAAGATGAAGGCTTGTGCATAAATGTCATTTTTCATTTTCTGCAATGGTTAAATAAATCTGCGCTTACACAGACATACTCGGGGCAAGCGCTGAGCATTATAACAAATATATATGAAAAAATGTCCGAGACCACACTGGATTTTTTTAAATAAATAAAACGAATACAGTTATAGCTACGAAAGTACCATCTGTTTAAGTCAGTGTATGTTTGTACTGTACACTATCAATGGATTTCGCACCTTTCACTTCTGTGTTTACAGAAAATATGCATAAGCATTTACAGAAACAAAATGTGACATAAGAAAATGCAGTAGGGAGGAGAATAATAAATGAAAATGCTTAGCTAGGGGAAAATTGCTAGTTAACTAGTATTCTTTGAGACACTGTTTTTGAAGTGCTCAACTGCTCGTAGGACTGAAAAACAAAGAACATGTATGTGGTTAAATTAATGCAAAATAGATTCTGTGCAATTTCGAAGTAACTAATCAAATAAGCAAATTCGTGACATGACTATGTGAAGTCCTCGTCAGATTTCCTTGCTTCAGTTGCAACACAAAACTGGGAAAGCATGCATCATCAGGATCTTGTGGAGTCCATGCCAGCTCGAGTGCGCGCTGACAGCAGAAGAAATTAAATAATGCTGATTTTTATGCTTATGCTTACAGTATATTGTCATGCTGATAACATTGAAAAATGTAACAAAGAAACTTTACAAAATTGTAATAATATAAAATAGAAGCTCTCACGAGAATTCTTTGAGCAGATAGTGAAAAAAAAATCTTAAAAATAATCTTTTCAGAAAAGGCATGAGTCCATGTTGCTTGGTTGCTTTTGCTTTTCTTAGCTGTGGAAGCAAGTGTGAAAGGTCCTGGTGTGGTATGTGGTGATTTTTAGAGCCGCTATGTGTGCCCTGTTAGTGGGGTCAGAGGTTGGGAACGTGCCCTGTTAACCCCTCGACCAGTCTGGCCCCAAAGTCTGCCAAGGGATTCTGGGAGCCCGGAGTATTTATGAGCAGTCCTAGCTAACCTCTGCTACCCAAAACCCCTCAGAGGCTCCCCCACAACCCTCACCTATAACACACATTCAACACCAGATTTGACCCCTTTTTGTTGTTTGTTTGTTTTTTTGGATTGCATATTTGACGATGAATCCAATAGATACAGAAAGTGAATATCAGCACATCGTGATTGTAGGCAGTTCTGTAATGAACAAATGGTTCAACCTCTGTTGTTGTTGTGGGTTGAAGGTAATGTTGTTGTGATATAAACTGAAACTCTGTGTAGACAAGCGGCTGTTCTCACACACATGTGGCATTCAGTCGTTGATGTATTGCTGCTCAAACATTTCAGCATGTCAGTGATTCGATGCTGCACATCTGGTTTCCTAATTTTCCTCCCCCTCTCCCTCTGTCTCCTGACACTGTTGTGTTTTTGTAAGACGGAGCGGGACGGAGGTGAGATGGACAAGAGGAAATACTGATGAGTGATGGTTCTGAATCTGCTTCTCAGCCTTTGTTTCTGTCTGTGGTCAACAGGCTGTCCAGTAATGAATATTACTCACTATTCAAGTGTTAAATATCAAATATACTCAGTTTCTTCTAAAGTGTGACGGTACCAACTTCTAGCCATCACGATAACATTTCTTAGAGTTTCTTAGAATTCTCAAAGAAATGGCAAGATGATTCAAAATGATCAGAATTTAATGTTTGTAAATACCTACTCATTCATTAATGCATTTTCTTTACTATAGTAATAGTAATCAAAACTATGGCATATTTTATTTGGGATGTTTGGAATTCTTAATATTTTACAATAATATAATATATAATAATATAATATTTTACAATATTACTGTTTTTATTTTTGATCAAATATATATATATATATATATATATATATATATATATATATATATATATATATATATCTCTATATATATATATATATATATCTCGATAGATAGATAGATAGATGATAGATAGATAGATAGATAGACAGATAGATAGATTATAGATAGATAGATAGATAGATAGATAGATAGATAGATAGATAGATAGATAGATAGATAGATAGATAGATAGATAAATAGATAGATAGATAGATAGACAGATAGAGAGATAGATAGATAGATAGATAGATAGATAGATAGATAGATAGATAGATAGATAGATAGATCTATTCATCATCCAAATATTTATTTATGGAACAATTTCACATAATCTACCTATATGTCATTGAAGAAGAGTTGTTGTTTTTTATAAAACTTTTTTTTTTTTAATGAAAAGCTGTAGCATTTACAATTTTCCCAGTGAATTTTGATTTTTTTAATCAATTTAGTTCCAAATATGTATCACTGGTCCACTGTGAAGACCTTACTCTAGTTAACCTAAATATCACAACAGTGCAGAACTTACAGTGTTATTATTAAACTTTTCCTCACGACACAACAGAGACAGAAGGGTGTTGTGCTGAAGTTGCAAGGTTTTCCAGGAGTCCTAATTAATTATGCAAGATGGGTGTAATTATGATGCAGTGAATGGATCCATGGCAGAAGGTGCGAGGCAGTGAGGCTTAGAGATTTGCATGCTAAGTGAGTGGGGGAGTGACTAATGCATGTTAATGCCGCGTGGCCGATGTGCTTTCATTTGCCTGCTTGCAGCTGTGCTCTATGATTTCATTAAGGGCTCAAATGTTTATCATGTAGTTAACGTGAAAAGATTGGCACGTGGAGCTTGGGTCGGGCATGAAACGCCACACAAAACCTTGACAAGTGTGTTGTGAGATACTCTGAGAGAGAGACAGCGGTTCAGATGCAGTGTTTATGGAGAGTCCTTTGTTAAAAAGTACAGTTTAAAAGTACAACTACAGCCAATTAATTGGTCGTCTTGGTTCAGTTTATGAAACTGTATCCAGAATTTTTTTTTCTTCAGGTTCTTTACAGCAAAACTGCTGGAGCATTATTGCTTTTTGTATATTGGGGTTATTCCTTATTAAAACAGCTATTAATATGTGACCATGTTTTTGCATCTAAATCTAATTTTATTAATCCCAGTTATGGAATGAATTACTGTTATGGCTATCTAGTAACAGTTAAACACAGTTTTGAAGCACAAGAGGTCAGCCTTGCTGATTCGATATGAAATGACAATTTGACATGCATTCGAAATGCAAGAAGTACTGAGAAACTATACTTAAGGCAAAGGATGGGTTCTGTGTCAAAAAAGTATCCAGGCAGCAACAAAAGATTGTTTATTAAGATATAGATCTGTGTCATGATGATCTGTGAAATATGTAGGCCTACTTTAGTTGAATTCAAAGTTTAAATAAAGTTAAATCATGACAACTCTCGGAAGATTTTAGCATGGTGATGGATATGACGATATTAATGTATTTGGTCTTGGCGGAATAGATCTGCCATGCTGCTGCTGCTGTTGCTTACTGCTGTATTTGTAGATTTTTGCTGCTGCTGCTGCTGCAAGCAAGTACAGGAACTTGCTACTGCCAATGCATAAGCCAATACGGTGCTGTGAGTATTTAAGACATACTGCTGCTGCACAAATAGCATATAAAATAACCCCGCAGATCTATACAGGTGGAGCTGGGGGAGGTGGAGGGTTTCAGAGGAACTCTGAAAACGTGCTGCAATGCTCAAGCGAATGCTAATCAGCCATTTAAATGTATGTGAACAACGTGAACCAATCAGCTTGTGACAAGTCATTTAATGCTAAGAATATCATCAGTTACATTAAGGACCCATCAGCCTGCGCCATCTAGAGTAAACGTTTGTTCAGACTCATGCACGCACCTTCCAACAATTTCATTGAAACATATGGGAAGTGTTTTCTCCTCCGTTTTAAAAGTAGATAGACGTGTTTGTTTGTGATAGACGAAATGAAGCAGGCCATTCCTTCCTTGAATAAAACCTATGTGGCTTGTCTGTTTCTTTGTGTGTGTTTCCCACAGATTTTTCTTGAAGTTTTTCCTAAAGTGCAATCAAAATTGTCTGAAGACAGCAGGGAACCCCCGAGACATGAGAAGATTTCAGGTATCGATCATGCATATGCAAAGAAAACGATTTCAATGCATAAGCCAATACGGTGCTGTGAGTATTTAAGACATACTGCTGCTGCACAAATAGCATATAAAATAACCCCGCAGATCTATACAGGTGGAGCTGGGGGAGGTGGAGGGTTTCAGAGGAACTCTGAAAACGTGCTGCAATGCTCAAGCGAATGCTAATCAGCCATTTAAATGTATGTGAACAACGTGAACCAATCAGCTTGTGACAAGTCATTTAATGCTAAGAATATCATCAGTTACATTAAGGACCCATCAGCCTGCGCCATCTAGAGTAAACGTTTGTTCAGACTCATGCACGCACCTTCCAACAATTTCATTGAAACATATGGGAAGTGTTTTCTCCTCCGTTTTAAAAGTAGATAGACGTGTTTGTTTGTGATAGACGAAATGAAGCAGGCCATTCCTTCCTTGAATAAAACCTATGTGGCTTGTCTGTTTCTTTGTGTGTGTTTCCCACAGATTTTTCTTGAAGTTTTTCCTAAAGTGCAATCAAAATTGTCTGAAGACAGCAGGGAACCCCCGAGACATGAGAAGATTTCAGGTATCGATCATGCATATGCAAAGAAAACGATTTCGCAAAATGCAGAGATGTTGTAGAAACCACAGACTTTATTCCTTTTTGCTGAGGAAGAAAACAAATCTTTGTTTTATTTCCAGTAAAACACACAAACATCCTTAAAACAGTGTATCCTTTGTCTTTTAAATATTGAACAAGACAAAACAACTGTATATTCAAGACACTGAACAAATTTAATATTGTATGCAATTTCTTAAGGATTTTTTTTTTTTACTGCAAAACAAGACAAATACTCTAAATATTAAGAATAGGTTTTGTTTGCAGTTTAGTGGTAGCTTTTCTCATGTATTTCTGGTAACATATACAGAAGGTCTTCTGGGGCCGATTGTGTCTCCATGTAGTTTTAGACGATTAGACGAACAGAGTGTGTGATTTATATTAAGTGTTTAAATACAATATCACATAAGAGAGCGGGAGTGATCAGAATAAAATAAAAAGCTGAAGAATCATCAGGAAATCAGCCAAGGTGCTTCAGGAAGTTGAGTGATGGGCTCCAGATGGGAAAGGTCAGGCTCTGTGACCCAGGAAGTGCTCACTGGGGACCCTCCTGCTCTACTTACTCCCTCTTGTCTTTCACTACTGGAGCAACTATTTGACATTTCCTCCCTCACTCTTAATTTCCATGCTGTCCTTCCTTATTAATTGTTGTGCATTTATTTACATATGGACTGTAATTGAGTGTGACATTTCTACTTTTGGAGCATCTTCGCAGCATCCCTCGTTTCTATCCCACATTTCTATGTGTTGTGTCTTTAGCTCTGCAGTCTTTTGCACATGTGAGCACTGATATTCTCAGTTGCATCATATTATATTAAGTAACTTTGTTCATCTCTGATTTTTTATATTAACTATAACTTTGGTTTCTCTTTGAAACAACACCCAATTGAATCCACATCAGTATGTGGTTTGAAACTCACTTAAAACAGTATTTTTGGAAAGAGTTTGAAAGGCCACATTGGATGTCAAGTAGGTTTTTAATAATGGGCATACATGATGTGATAGAAGAAAAAGAAGAAAAAGAGAAGGCACAAATCAGGTGGAAAGATGGGAAAAAGAGTGAGAGTGTAAATGAGATTATTAGGAAAAGAATAAATGTGACCCTGGAGCACAAAACCAGTCATAAGTGTCAATTTTTCAAAACTGAGATGTATGCATCATCTTAAAGCTGAATAAATAATATTTCCATTGATGTATGGTTTGTTAGGATCGGACAATATTTGAAAATCTGGAATCTGAGGGTGCAAAAAAATCTAAATATTGAGAAAATCATCTTTAAAGTTGTTCAAATGAAGTTCTTAGCAATGCATATTACTAATCAAAAATTAAGTTTTGATATATTTACGGTAGGAGATTTACTAAATATCTTCATGGAACATGATCTTTACTTAATATCCTAATGATTTTTGGCATAAAAGAGAAATGTATAATTGTGACCCATACAATGTATTGTTGGCTATTGCTACAAATATCCCCCAGCGACTCAACACTGCTTTTGTGCTGCAGGGTCACAATTGATTCAACCAGAGCTATAAAACTGTGAATTTTAAATCAGCAGCAGTAGAAGTTTCTAAAGATGACACTGCAAGGATATCGTTTAAGGAGTTTTTAAAGCACTATGTGAATCTCCTCCTTCAAACTCTTTTTGTTATCAATAAATCTTTCTTTGCATTCCAATAGGTGGTTCTGTCCACTACAGTCAGTGTGGACGGTCCCGTCCTAGCCATTTCTGACAACATGTTTGTGCACAACAACTCCAAACACGGACGCCGCTCTCGTAGAACGGATTCGAACGAGACGGTGGAGACTTGCATGGAATATGGTGAGATTCACAAGTAATGGCATTGAAATGACATTAAAAAAAGAAGAGGTTTGCATTAATCCACAATTATATACAAGGGGAGGAAGGTTTTAACCATGAAGCTGGAAAATGAGCTTGTTCTCTTGAAAGAGTAGAATAGCTCTGTGGTCACTGAGGGATGCTTCTTAGACCCCGAGTAATAATTTCGTGCATCTTTAATGCCATTTTCATTTTTGTCATTTCTCCACTACAGCTACTCCCTGTATCAAAGCCATCAGCCCCAGTGAAGGCTGGACTACAGGCGGGGCTATGGTGATTGTGATCGGGGAAAACTTCTTCGACGGTCTGCAGGTGGTGTTCGGGAGCATGCTAGTGTGGAGCGAGGTATGCATTGGTAGAGTATATCGAAGCAAGCTTTGACTTGCAATAAGGAAAGCTTTTGTAATATTTTAAGTTTGAGTACCAACAGTCTGTAACAATTAACCTTCAGAGCTTGTTGTTATTCCTGCAGTTAATCACTCCTCATGCAATCCGAGTTCAAACTCCTCCTCGACACATTCCAGGGATTGTAGAAGTCACACTGTCTTACAAATCTAAGCAGTTCTGTAAAGGAGCTCTGGGCCGCTTCATTTATACAGGTGAACACAAACCCAGACAAAGTGTGTATTATTAAACTAGTTCCTCTCCATGTTTAATGTCCCATGTTCAGTTTGTAGACTGACTTCTTCAAGAGTGGAAGAATTGTGGCTCTTTGCCGCTTTCAGAACACCAAACATTGCAATGTTTGTCATCTTCTGGCTCATCCGATAGAAGTTTGGAGTTTGGCTGAACAATGCAAAATGGTAGAGAGTTTGGAAGAACTTTTTGGAAACCCTGGAGCACAAAACCAGTCATAAGGGTCAATTTTTCGAAATTGAGATTTATGCATCATATGAAAGCTGAATAAATAAGCTTTCCATTGATGTATGGTTTGTTAGGAGAGAACAATATTTACCCGAGATGCAACTATTTGAAAATCTGGAATCTGAGGGTGCAAAAAAATCAAAATATTGAGAAAATCATCTTTAAAGTTGTTCAAATGAAGTTCTTAGCAATGCATATTACTAATCAAACATTAAGTTTTGATATATTTACGGTAGGAGATTTACTAAATATCTTCATGGAACATGATCTTTACTTAATATCCTAATGATTTTTGGCATAAAAGAGAAATGTATAATTGTGACCCATACAATGTATTGTTGGCTATTGCTACAAATATCCCCCAGCGACTCAACACTGCTTTTGTGCTGCAGGGACACATATTTCAAATTCTGTTTGGTGCCACTAGTGAAGAAGACATACTTCATCTTTAACAATTTGTGTACACAAGACTAATATTAATACTGAGGACTAGAGTGTTTCCGTTTCCTGACCTGATTCCGTTTTATGAACTACATACAATGGGATTTATGCAGACAGTGGGATATGTAGAGGGATGTTATAAAGACAAATGGATTCTCACTTATTATGATTATCTCTAGCGCTGAATGAGCCAACTATTGACTACGGCTTCCAGAGACTTCAAAAGCTGATTCCTCGACATCCTGGTGACCCCGAAAAACTGGCAAAGGTTAGTAAATGCTGCTACATGCATATAACCGTTAATAAATTTTTTACTACATTGATTTTCTCTGTCTTAGGAAATGTTACTTAAAAGAGCAGCAGACGTTGTTGAATCACTCTATGGAAATACCAACAGCAATCAGGTAACCACTGAAGTGCAGTAGATATAGAATACCGTCTGTGGCATGGGAAGCAAATATTGTATGCGTTAAACATACAATGGAGTCCAAATGTCTCAGATGCTTTTATTTAACGCATTCATTTTTTCGTTCATTTCATAAGACATTATCAGCACCGCAGTTTGGGTAATAACTGAACTAAACAACTTCTGAAAACATGAATTCCATGATTTGTTTTTAAATTTAGTTTCACAAGTTTTCCTTGATGATCTCCAGATGAATATTATTCAACAAAGTAAAAAAAATATTCCATAGTGCATAATTTGTGCTTCAGTGGAAGCAAAGAAATTTGGTCAATGAAACAAATTAGCTTATTTGTAAGTTTATAGCTACATGTTTCCAGTTCAAACAACATATATTTAATTACTTAAAGGGATAGTGCACTCAAAAATGAAAATTCTGTCATCATTTGCTGACCCTCAAGTTGTTCTAAACGTGTGTGAGTTTCTTTATTCTTTTGATTATAAAAGAAGATATTTGGAAGAATGTTGATAACCAAACAGTTCATGGTAGCCATTGACTTTCAATACTATAGAAGTCTATGGCTACCGTCAACTGCTTGGTTACCAACATTCTTCAAAATATCTTCTTTCGTTTATCAACTTGAGGGTGAGGAAATGATGTTCATTTTTAGGTAAACTATCCCTTTAACATGAGTCATATCACCCAATAGTTTTTCCTGCCGTGCATCAAAACGTTTCTTTGATATTGTGTTGGTGCAGGACATGTTGCTGAAACGGGCTGCAGATATAGCCGAGGCTTTGTACAGCGTGCCACGACCTCACAGTCAGCTGCAGGCCATGCCGAGTTCCCCGGTCCATGGCAGCGTCATGGGCCTCAGCTCTTATCCCACACAGCTGACTGTAAGCATTGGAGAACCTGGGCAAACCAGCAGCCAAGGTTAGGACCCTCAGACAAGTACCCTACGATTCAGAAGTTGTTGTCTTATTCAGTGTTATAGATAACTGTGGATGCACAATCTCATCTCAACACATTTATTAGAATGGTTATGCTTGGCTTTTCATATGAACACCAACCTTTGTGAGATTGATTCCATTTGAACAGTTTTAAGAGTTGAATGTTTTTTTTTTAAATAGTAATAATAGTAGTGCATCAACAAATCAAGTACTTGAATAAAAGCACAGATACCATAATAAAGAAATAATACATTTTACTCAAGTAAGCGCAAAAGAACTTGGTTCTTTATAATGTGGAGGGGTGTTGTAAGTAAGTTTTGCAAAATAAAAATACTCTCAAATAAAATGACTTCAGTACAATAACAAAGTTGAAATACGATCAGTCACCCTTGGATTATAATAATCCTTGAATTTATGTTATGCTGAATTTTAAAGGTTTATATTGTAACCTCCAGAATAGAAGCAGAGGTTATGTTGCTGTGTTCTTATTTAATTGTTAGAAATAACTGAGATATTATCAAACATCTTAATTATTTACCATAACCTATTGAATGATAATACATTAATACATAGGTTTATACAATTAATCTGAATTCATAGTCAGAATTTATGCTATGACATCCCTTTAATTAATTAAAAATATATGAATAAATGATATCAGATTTAACGTTTAGATGATTTCCAATCTCGAATAATTTAGCTTTTT